GGCGGGCGTGCGGGGGCGGGCGGTTATGGACAGAGCCCCTTGGCCGTGGCCCCCCAGAGCTTTGCCAGGCTCTCAGCCCCTGCCCCGGCACTGTATGACATGGGACTGGGCAAGGGGCTGCGGCCAGGGGCCACGTAGCACTGGGGCGGGAGGGGTTCTGTACCAGGGCAGGGGGTCCTGGCTACGGGGAGGTCCCAAGGTGGCTGTGCACTGTGAGGGTCCCACAGCTGCTGCTCTGAGCATCCTGCGAGCATTCCACCAGGTGCACGTGCTGGCCCCTGGGCGGGCACTGCCCGTGTTTGGGCTTTGTCGTGGCAGCAGCGCATGAGAAGGTGCTGCTGGCCGCACCCACGAGACATTTCCCTCCTTTTGAGGCCCTTGGATGTGCTCTGGCTCGCTCTGGCTTTTCTGCAGCTCGTGTTCCAGTGCTGGCACAATAAGGAGGTGCCATCACTCCTGCCCCTTGGGCTGCCACTGTGGCCTGTCCCTGGTGTGGTCACATTTGGTCTCCTGGCCTCAGCAGTGCTGCCGGCCTCCCCATGCCTGTCCCCTCCCCTGCTGATGCCTCTGGCCCTCTGAGAGCCCCTTTTGGATGGGTTTCATCCATTTTGTGGCCATTTGGTAGTGCCTCCCCATTAAGAGGAGGTAGTGGGACTGTTGGATGCAGAAGCAATGACTGCTGGTGACTCCCCTGCCTGCAGTGCTCCCATGGAGCCGGGGTCCCTCTCCATGGCACTTGTCCTACCTTCAGGCAGTTGCTGCGTGTGCCAGCGATAAGTCACCGGTGAGCACGTTGCTGTGGCTTGTTGAGTTGCTGCTGGTTAACCAAGCTGTGGTAATGGGTGGGTTATAGCTCGCTGCCAAAGAGTAAATGCAAAGTAGCTCAAACCACTGCAATTATGTCTTCTGCAGTTGTTGGAGTCTGCGTGCGGCCGGTGGCTGCGGCACAGCTGACCCGTGGCCACGCGTGGCGCTGTGGCTGCCCCTGCCGGGGTGCGGGAGCTGCGGCGAGTGCTGGTGGGCTGGAGTGGGCCCTGGCCTGGACCAGTTTGCTGAGCTGAGTGGCTGTGGGTCTGGCTGCAGGAGCTGCCTGGAACAGCCCATGGCTCCAGTTGCGCAGTGGGACTGTGGTGCTGTACCTGTTGCCAAAGCAGAGCTGTTCCCCAGCCCTGCTGTGTCTCATGGCTGGAAAGCCTTGTTTGCTTGTGGCAGGCAGCACTAGTGACTTGTTCTGGGGCACTCGGGGTGCTCTGGCCCCTTGGAAGCTGTCAGTTAATGAGTGAGATATGGGAAGTGAAGAGGAGGCGCTTGGAGAAATGCCCACTGCTGCATTGGTGATGCCCATGGAGGTCTGGCATGAGTGTTTTTTTGGGGCATGCAAATCCACCAGGCTGGTATAGCCTGGGGATGGCCCTGCCTTTGGTTGGGGGCACACACCAGCTGAGTTGTGGTGCCGTCAGCTGCTGTACAATCCCTGTGTAGAGGTTGTGATGCTGGCTCCCCTTCTGCCAGGTGCCCCCGCAGCGATGCTGCGCTCTGGCTCCCAGGCTGGCGCTGGCTGAGCACGGTGTCTGCCAGCTCACCGCAGCACCAGCCAGAGACTCGTTGCTTGACAACACACTGGAGTGGAATAGGAAGTGTTTTGTCACCATGAGATGGGAAGAGATCACCATTTTCTCGATAGGCAGGGCAGTGTTTGTTTGCTCTGTGTCCATGTGGCTGTCCCCTCTGCTCCAGGGACCTGGGCTGCCCGTGGCGGTGGCACCGGCGCGGCCGTGGCTGCTCTCCCCTCT